TAAAAAAGTAGGTTAATAATCTTTTGTTATCTTACAGAATTAAGAGTTGGGTGACCAGGCATAAACAAGGCAATGCATATAAAATTGCTTTCTTGTTTTTTCTTTTTAAGATTTTTATTTATTTGAGAGAGAGAGAGAGAGAGAGCACACAAGCGGGGGTGGGGGGAGGGACTGAGGGAGGGAGAAGCAGACTCCCTGCTGAGCAGGGAGCCGGATGTGGGGCTCCAACCCAGGACTCTGGGATCATGACCTGAGCCAAAGGCAGACGCTTAACCCACTGAACCACCCAGGCATCCCCAAATTGCTTTCAATATTATAAAGTCAATATCATTGTAAGACAATGGAGGTTGAAGTGGTGGTGAGAACCCACCTTTCTGCCTACACTCTTCTTAGTTTCCCCCAAAGGGAGGCCCAATTAATACTAAGATTGGTTAAGTTCTGGGGTCAGCAAAACTTTTTCTGTAAAGGGTCAGAAAGTAAATATTTTAGGCTTTGCCAGCTGAGAGGCAAAATTGGGGTTCAAATTCAGTGTTCCCACCTTCATGGTAGAAGCGTGGTCTCACTCTCCCGCAGTGCCTTCCCTTGCTTCTCTGAAACACAGTGATTTGTCCTCCTGGGAACTCACCACCACAGTAACCTGCATCTCCCTTTAGGCACTGCCTTTATGGTCCTGGGTCATTTTTCTCATGGGTAAGCAGGTTAAGAGCACAGGCGGTGAGACTGAATTCCAGCTGAACTCCTTGTTAGCAACATGATTTTTGACTACTAACTTGACCTCTTCAGATACTTCAGTTTCTCTACCTGTAAAATGAGTAAAAGTACCTGCTTTGCTGGGTTGTTGTAAAGATTAAATGAGCTAATGTATCCAAAGACTGAGAATAGCACATGACATATTACAAAGCAACTCCATAAGAATGTTAGTCTTTTCACTTTTCCCCCCAAATCATTTATAAATGTAAAACTCTTCTTAGCTTTTTGGGGCAAGGTCTTCCTATTCTTTGTCTACTCTGCCTGTCTCCTTGTATCTCACCCTCTTCCATTAACCCCTTGTAACATGTGGCTGGCCAGTATGGGGTAAAATCCCAAGATTTAGATTCAGTGTTCAGTGGGAAGGCACAGGGTCTTTAGGATTTCCCCTTTGAAATTGGCCAAGTTATTACAGTAAGATTTTGATTCCTATTTTTTATTCCTTACATGGAAAAGGCCCTTGGGAATCTTAGGTTGGGGGTGGGGAGGAAGGGATGATTGGCAGGTCAGGATTCTGACATTCCTAGTCCCTGGGGGTCACACCATCAAATACCTTCAGTGGGCCATGATAGTTCCAAACAGGGGCTCCAGGGAAAGGAGGTTACCTAGCGGGTGATGCACCTGTCTTTGTAGTTCAGCTTCTTCCTTGGGGGCTTGGGACCAGAAGCCTACTTTCTTCAGGGTAGAAAAGAGTGGTGAGGTCCACATGATGTCAGCTTTATCTGCATCTGAACAGAGGGGAAGAAGAGAGTTGTTGGAGTAAGGGCCCAGGACTGTGGCTAAAGTCAGAAAGAGCCAAGTGTAGCATCAGATGTGACAGGTGGCCTGTAAGATGGCCCCCAGGACCCTCCAATGTGTACCCATGCCCTTGTGTTATCCCCTCCCTTTGAGTGTGGGTTGGATCTAGTAATTCATTTCTAATGAATAGCATATGGCACAAATAATGAGATCAGGATACAATAAGACTGTGGCTTCCATTTTTCTTGGCCCCTTCTCACTTGCTTGCTCTGAAGGAAGCTGGCTGCCATGTTGCAAGCTGTCCCATGAAGTCCACGTGGCAAGGAACTGATGTCTCTGGCCAACAACCACAGGACAGAACTTCAATTCCCCAGGCAAACCTTGGGGTGACTGCAGCCCTAGCCCAACACCTTGATGCAGCCCATAGGAGACCCTGAGCCACAGGACCCCGCTAAGCTGCACCCAGAAACCTGACCCGCAGAAACTGTGAAATAATCAATGTTTGTTGTGTTAAGCCACAGAACTTTCCGGTAGTTTGTTACAGAGCAATAGAAAACGAATACACTGGGTTTCTCTATGTTTTTCCTGAAGAACCTACCGTGGCCACACTCTTATAGTGCCAGGAGCCCTGACTGTAGCATTAGAACTTATCAGTCGTGATCAGCATTGACAACAGAAGGGAATGTTGGGCCAGTGACCAGCCTTACCTGTTCCTGGCCCCTGGTCCTCCCGGCCTGGGCCATGGCCTTGAGCTCCCACTAGCGCTGCAGTGAGGCTCTTCAGGAAGGGGATCAAGAGAGGGCAGGCAGCAGCCCGGGCCCTGAGAGAAGTGGGGATCGTTCCATAGAATCTTTCTCCAGGGTAATTCTCCAAACATGCAGGGGAGCCTGAGGCAACAATCTAGGACAAAAGAATCAGAACTCGGTTCCATGCATGGCTCCCACACGGCTGCTTTGGGAGCTTCTCTCCAAAGCCCCTACTAAATTGGACCTGCTGATCTCCGTGGCCTAGTCCAAGGCAGTACCTGGGTGTGCAAGAGGTGGAGGCGGCTCAGCTCCCGCTGGTACTGCAGGTGACCGAGGGCCCTATCCAGAAAGTTCAGTCTCTCCCTTACCACCTCCTGAAACTCATCAGAGAGATGCTCAACCACCTAGAGCACAGGAAGTGAAATGCCCAAATGAAAATGGAGCTTCTTTCCTCCTGTTCCCCTCCCAACCCATCTGCTGCTCCTTGGGCCACCTATTCCTGAATATCACGCTGCCCTGAAGAACCACATCTGATGACACAGGAGGCTGTGCTCATCCCACATGGGTCCTCTTACCAGCCTCTGAGCCTCACCTTCCTGCGACGGTTCCAGATCTGGGGGCTCGGACTCCTAGGCTGCTGCAGCCGCCTCTCCTGCTCCTGGCCCCGCAGCCGGCCCACTGCCTGCCTGAGCTTTTCTGCTGTCTGTCCTAAACTCTGCAGGACTTCCTGCATGCCTAGCATCATCTGCACCTCCTGCTCCCACTCCTCTCTGTCTGCTGCAGGGGGCAGAGAAAAGAGCCACGTTAGAGCCGCCACCCCAGCGAGAGGGAGAGGAAAAGGCACAGTGGTTTACTGGGGCTGGGGGAACCCGCCAGATCAGAGCCGGGGCCTGGCGGGGGGAGCCTGGCTGGTGAGCACATTCAGAGAGCAAGAGGCACTCCCCACAAGGCAGCTGTGGGAGGTGTCCCCACTCCCGGGAGATTTCTGCTCTGGGGATCTGGGCCCAGGGGATGCTGTCCCACCTTGAGAAAGCAGGCCCCACTCTGGGCTGCTCTGTGTGCTCAGGGCTCTGGCTCTCCTCTCGGTCTCCTGCAGGCGGCAGGACTCCAGCGCGGCCCGGGCCTCCTCAGCAGCCCTCAGCTGCACGGGGCAGGAAGCACAAAGGAAGGGGCCTCAGAGAGGAAGGCCGGAGCTCTGGGCTGGGCCGCCTCATGGTGGTCCTTCCTCCTTCCCCCCTCCTTCCCTTCCTCCTCCACCCTGAGACACTTAGGGGGTGACCAGAGTCTAGGGCCTGGAGCCAGGGAATCCTGGGATTTGGTCTGCCTTGAGACGGGTTCCATTTTTGCGGTCAGCGGGGGGGACAAAGGCTCCACACTTAAAAGAGAAACCTGTGTAGTCTGGGTAAAGGGTGGGGACGGTGAGGTGGCGCCTCTGGGCCTCACCTGGTGCCGAGCATCTTTGCTGGGAATGGAGAGCAGCTCGAGGCTCAGCTGCCCCAGGCGTTCTGCTAGACACATCTCTTCTTGCTCCTGGCCATGCCAGTACTGCTCCCGGGCTCTCAGCTCCTTCTCCAGGGTGTCCAGCTGCAATGTCCAGCTTATCTGGTGCTCATACACTTTTTCTCCTCACAGCCTGGGGTCTGGCTAAAGATCCCCGGCGCTTCTCCTCCAGACAGGGGCCTCCCGCACCCTTGGGTGTCCATGACTAAGCTCGATGAGGCAGTTGACTTGGTTGTAGGTGGAAAAATAATAACCCTGCACCTGCTTCAAGATCCCTGTCCCCTCCTCCCTCCTTCTAATGCCCGGTCTCTCTGGCAAGACCAGGGCAGGTAGAAACTGTTCTCTTCCCTTCATCTCATCCCTTCCGACGTGAAACCGGGAGTCGGGGCTAGAATTAAAGTGTCTTGGCTTCTAATGAGAATCTTTTACAACACATCCATCTTTGCTCCTGAAATGAACTGGGCTGAGAATGTATGGGAGGACCTAAGTCATTTCCATTTTCGTGGAGACCTGCCAATGGCTGAATTATTGCAATAACCTCCTGACGGGGCTTCCTGCTCCAGGCTGGCCCTGCTCCCATCCATCCTCTGCATGGCTGCCAGAAGGAACTTTCTAGAATGCTGACTACATATTCACATACACACACATAAAAATGCCTGGAAGGAGATGTGCCAACCCGTTAACAGTGGCTGCATTTAGTGGGAGACTAGGGGGAGAGGTTAGTAGTGTCTGGTGGGGGGGGGCTGCTGATGGCAGATGGGGTGAGAGCAATGGGGAGGAGGGACCTTGTGCTTCTTCATTTATATATGTTAAGACATATAGGATTATGAGTAATTTATTTTCTTTTTGTATTGTGCCAAATTTTCCAAATTTAAAAGTCTTAAAAATATTCATATCTGATCATATCACATGTGTACTTAGAATCCTTCAGTGGCTCCCCATAGCTTTCATGGTACGCCACATTTCCAGGCCTCAGCCAGGCACCCGAGGCAGTTTGTGATTTGTTTCCTGCCTTCCTTGCCGGCCGTCTCTCACCCTTCCAGAACAGTCGTGGTCTCACGCTCGCCACCTTTGTGCTTGCTGGCCCCCCAGGCCTCTTTCTGACTGAGCCCAGGTGTTGCCTCTTTAGGGAAGCCTTCCTTGAGCTCTCCTGCATGTGATTTGGACATCCCACCCCTGTGCTCCCTTAACACCCTTATAAACCACAATCATGGTTGGAACCCATGGCCGACCAGTTTCCTGAGGACAGGAGCCCCGTCTAGTTCTCCTGCATCTCAACACCTAACACGGTGCCTGGAACCTAGAGGGTACTTCATACACAGCTGCTGGATGAATGGAAAAGGAATAGAATAAACGGCTCCTACGAACCAGACCAGGGTCTCTCACTCCCCGAGGCAGGGCCTCCAGCACTTGGACGATGGGCACCACCACTCCGGCAGAGGGGTCTGTCTGAGCACCAATGACAGGACCAGGTTCCCCGGTCAAGGGGTCTATGGCTTGAGCCCCAATCGAGATTGCGACAAGACCTGTGGCAAAGCGGGAGGGAAAGAAGGAAGAGGTGGTCATGGAAAGAGGTAAACATGGTGGGAAGGGAGCTGGAGAAACTGAGAACCCTTGAGGAGTTCTGAGCTGGATTAGAGGGTTTCTTGGAGGCCACAGACCCTGAGGGTGAGGTTCTGAAGGGCTGGTTTTGGAAAGGACCCAATTTTCTCAGAGATAGGAAGATAAATGACCTGTGGTCCTCGGGTTCTGGAATCTCTGAGCACTTTATTTTGGGTCTCAGCAGCCCTAGTGGAGGCGTCAGAATGACCCCATCCCATGGCTCATGAGTAAATGGAAGAGGGGGGGAGCCCTCCTGAGCTTTCCAGGGCTTTCTCACCCAGGGCTAAGTCACATTCCTGACCCCCCTGGGGCTTTCACAGGCCCCCAGTTCCCTCCTACCTTTGCCATCAGCATCTTCCATTGAACCTGCCAGGGCTGTGGCGTCACCCGAATTCCCATCAGTCTCCATGCCCAGGATGGGCACCATGAGCCCTGAGCCCTCAGGGTCTGGGATCTCCATCCCGCACAAGACTGGGACCCACAGCTCCGTCCCAGGGTAGCACATCATTCCTAACACAAGGGGGAGTTGGCAGAGAGAACGGGGGTTAGGGTTAAGTGCCAGGCTCAAAGGGCTAACCCCTGACCAGAGAAGCTTCCCTACAAAGACTGCATTTCCTCTGGGGCCTCACTTAACATTTTGAATTCAGGAGGAAGGTACTGAGTGGCATCAGGACTTTTGGGAGGCTGAGAACAATTTCCAGGCCACACTAAAAAAGCTAAAGGAGAAGGGAACAAATATTCTTGAGCACCCACCATGTACCAGAAGTCTGGGCTTAAGAACTCCTTACAAATTAGGGGCGCTTGGGTGGCTCAGTCATTAAGCGTCTGCCTTTGGCTCAGGTCATGATCCCAGGGTCCTGGGATCGAGCCCTGCATCGGGCTCCCTGCTCCGCGGGAAGCCTGCTTCTCCCTCTCCCACTCCCCCTGCTTGTGTTCCCTCTCTCTCTGTGTCAAATAAACAAATAAAATCTTTAAAAAAATTACATTTTATTTGGTCCTACAATGGAACCTAAAGTATGTATTATTTTTATCCTCATTTTAAAGATGTTAAGACAGAGGCAGAGTGAAGTCTAGTAACTTGCCCAAGGTCAAAGAGTTATTGAATGGTGGGGCAGGGCTTCAAACTTGAATCAGTTCTGACCTAAAACCCTGGTTCTTTTTTGTCACATCATGGGCAGAAGCTTCTAGAAAGAATGAGTGAGGTAAGCTCCAGGAAGATGCCCCTCCTACTTCCTTTCCTTGCCCATCCTTGTATTAGTGGAGGCAGAAGGGAGAGGGAGGAACTTCAGACTCCCTGGTGTAAAATGGGTCTCATAACATGTTATGGTGTTGGGAGCCCTCTGAAATAACAAGAAAACATACACTTCACAAACATTAAGTGTAAGACCCAGCGGGATTGGCAAGAGATCAGAGGGCAGAGTCGAAGCCGACCACTCATGGGGTCGGGCATGAAGCCACCACACCCCTTCTCCCTTCCCTCGGTCCCGTGCGTGCATGACCCGTGGGGCTGCAGTCCCGTCCCCGGGCTTATGAGCTGAGGGCACTGAGGCACCGGGGCATTCTGGGCCTGGGATTTCAGGGCCCGAGAGCCTAGGTCTCGGTCAGTAGGTACCTATCTTCCCACCACTGGCCACGATGGCCTCTGCCGTCCCCAGCTGCCGCTCCAGTCTCCGAGCCTGCTGCAGGGCATGGTGCAGACTCAAGCCCAGTGCCTGTCTCATGTCCTTGATGGCAGCCTCCAGAAGCCCCTGTGTCCTTGACCCCGGCCTCTCCCGGTAGCTCTGGAGCACGTCAATCACTCGCCTCTGGGCCGCCAGCACGTTGGCGTCCAGCAGGGCCTGTGATCCCCCCATGTGGGGCACTGTCTGGCCCTCTCGCCGAGAAGCTCCCTGCAGCCGGACCGTCTTCCTGCTCAGAGGCTCCTCAAAGCTGTCACCAGGCAGCATAAGGCTCCCCGAGGCATCTCGTAGCCCTCCCAGTGCAAGCACCTGACCTGGCAGCGGAACCCAGAGGGTGAGGTAGGAAGGGGACTGAACAGAGACACAGGGAGATGAGGCGTAAGGAGAACTAGGGCCTGCAGACCGAGTGAGCGATGGGGGTGGGGGACTGGCAGTCAGGGGAAGGGGACAGGGAAGCCAGGACGGAGGACACAGGTGGGGTAAGAGCAGAGTGGGAATAAAGGGTGGAAAGGTGGGTGTGGGGTGGTTTGCAGCCTGGACCAGAGCATGGGGGGTGGGGTGTAGGGGGCTGAGGGGCTGGGGAAGCCAGTTCGGGCAGAGAGGAGAGGGTGGGAGCACAGCACCGAGGTCTGCCGGACACCTGTGTTTTCATCCAACCCGACTCCCAGGATTGGCGAGATGCTTCCTGTGGCTGGGTCCTCCATGGGACCCCCCAGCTCTAGAGGGGCCAAGGTCTTGGTGAGAGGGTTGCAGTATGTGCCCCCAAGAGTGAGCCACTGCCTGGTTTGAGGATGCAGAGTCACAGCCAGCACGGGCACCTCGATGCCAGTTGCGGGGTCTGTCATGAGCGCCCCCAGCTGTGACGTCCGACTTGGCTGCAGGACAGGCAGGTGGGGGGCGGGAGGGGAGCCCGTGGCAGGACAGGTTGGGTAGGGCACATAGGGGAGGATGGCGGCTTCTGATGTTCGGACGCCACGTGGACAGGGAGACAGGGAAGTGTTAGTACTGTTGATATGCCAGCCTCCCTCCCTGGCCCTGCACAGCCTTCTTGCACTGAGAGGCTCTCTCCAGCCTTCACCTTCTGCAGCAAGAATGTTCAAGTGAGGAGGGGGAGAAGGTGTTTTACTGCTCAGCTCGTCATCATACCCCATGGTGCAAGGACAGAGCCCTGCTCCCTTCCTTGTGCTCCCGGGGAGCACCTTCCTTCCTCCTTCGTGGTCAGGGTCTCACCGGAACTGAAGTCAGTGGTGGGCACCAAGGTAGCTCCCTGCAGATCGTACCCCAGGTTTCCAGCCTCAGGCAGCACCTTCCCAGTGTCAGGGTGGATGAAGTAGCCAGGGGGTATGGACCCTGCATGGCCACTGGCTGGAAACATTGCACAGTTGGGGCCGGGGACCATCAACTTGGTGACGGAATTCACTCTGATGTCCTGGGCGTTCCCTTGAGGGCCACCTGCGGCTGCAGGAAAGCAAACTGCTCAGCCCTGCGTGTGAGGCTGAGGGGGCAGGCTAGGGGCTCCCTTGGCTGGTGCCTGGAAGGAGTTGGGAAGAACCCCGCCCCAACCCCGGTAGCAAGTGCTCCCTGAGAGCAGAGTGTCTTGTCTTTTGCTGAGTGCAGGCCAGGATTCCCCATTTGAGACATGACACTGTGATAGCATCATATTGCAGCCTGGCAGGGACTAGAAGGACTCTGGGAAACAGCGGTGACAGCCCAGGGGTCATCTGATGGGGCTGGGGATTCCCAGAACTCAGAATTCCCACAGAGAACCCAAGGGGATCCTTCTCCCACTCTTCGTTTCCAGGCAAGCCCAGCATTCTCCCAATGTGGCCTTTTGCACTCATCTGTCGGGCTTTTGCTCCCAGGAAATGCTCCCTTATGTGTAAAGCCATTTTTCGTGGCAGTTTTGCTCATTTCTACCCTGTTCCTCCCATTTAGGAGGCTCCCTCTTCGGCAACACAGCTGTTTGCCTGCACACTGCACAGGAAATCCCTCCCAGCTTTGGGGGTTTCCACTTTGCTCTGCCCTTCTCCTCCCCTGCAGGGTGTCGTAGGGGAGGGGCCAAGTTTCTGCAGGGCCCGTCGCCCTAAACGCAGGGCCAGATTTCCTGGGGGGCCCTGGCGAGGGGGAGCAGGACCCACCTGGCCGCAGCAGTGCCGGTACCCAGGACGCCCCAGGCCTTCAGGCGGTGGCCCTCCTGCAGCACAGCCTGGGACAGGCGGCCCAGCGCAGCATCCAGCTGGGGGACTTCCCTGCGGGGGGCGGGGGGCCTGGGGGAGGCCCTATCAGGGGAGCGCGGTTAGGGATGGGGAAACGACCCTCCGCTGTGGCCCCCTCTGGACCTGGCCAAGCCACGCGGGCTCCTCCCCTAAGCCAGAGCTCACCACGCCCGACTCAGGGGCACCGGGTACACACCCTTCCGGGTTCGGCCCCGCCTGGGAGGACTTCGCGGGCCCGGAGGCCGCCTGGCGCTCCAGCAGCCGGCGAGCCGCCATCAGCGCGGAGCAGAAAGAGGCCCACTGCTCCTGCCTGGCACCCAGGTCTTGGCGGACGAGCCTCAGCTGGTGACTAAGGCTTGCTGCGTACTGGCCTGCCAGACGCGCTCTGCGCCCGGCCTCCTCCTCCGCGGCCCTGGCAGCAGCCTCAGCAGCCTGGGATCAGACACAGCCCGGCCTCCTTGCCCGGGGGCTGCAGACGCCAGGGCCAGCAGCTGCCCAGGGGCTAGCCCCGGGAGGGAGCTCCAGAACATTCTGGGCAGGCCCGGCAGCAGTGGCAAAGGGATGAGAAATCCTCAGGGGTGGGGGGGTGGGGGCCAAGGGCCCCGGGGCCTGGGAGATGGGACCGTGGGCGAGGGGCCACGGGGGGCGGGGCTCAGGGCGCCCCGGGGGGGTCGCATTCAGGCACAGGGACCAGGTGGGAAGGGGTGAACACAGCCCGACCTGTTGCAGCTCCCTCGGGGGGTTCCCCAGAAGCTGGCCAGCAGAGGCTGGGATGCGACGCTCAGCCCCCCACAGCTGCCGCAGAGAACGGACTTCACTCACGAGATTGAGGCAGAGCTGTTTGAGCTGCGGGAGAGGGCGGCGTTCACCTGTGACCGCGCCCCGCCAGCCTCGCGGCCGCTCTCCTCACTTTGATCACAGCGCCCTCTGCTGCCCGTCGGGGGAGGGACGCCGCAGCACCACAGGCCCCCTGACCCAGATTCCGTACTTGGACTTCTGGTGTGTTCTTTTTTGCTCCCCGACGCCCGTCACCTCCTGGCCTGAATTTATGCATTCCAGTTGGGCTACCGAGGACCAGAAATGGGGATCTGAGAGACTCCAGCGGTGGTCTTAATAGATTATCACTGATCTGAAGCCCAAACTTCTGAAAATCAGCCCTAAATTTAATCTGAAATCTATTTCCCCTGCCGGATACTTTCCTTTTTCCTGATTCCTTATGGATAGATGGAGGATTTTTTTAGGTTCTATATCCTTTTAACCAGCTCCCTCTGCAATGAACCCGTTTTCAACCCTGCTCTCTTCTTCAGCTTCTCCACTTACCTCTTCCTTGGTCTGGCTGAGTTTCGTTGTCACTGACAGGGACCGCCTGAGCAGGATCGCAAAGAAGCGTTCTGGGTCAAACCACTCCAGGTCTACCTGCTCCTCGGCCTCCCAGCACCCACCTGTCAGGGGATGGGAAGCAGGATTAGCCTCCTGAAATGCAAAGTGAAGCCTCCCTGCTGATCTTCCCTCTATCTTCTTCCTGCCGATCCTCAATGGTCTAGCCACAGTCTTGCTTGGACCAGCAGCATCAGCCCTGCTGAGGAGCTCGTGAGAAACACAGAAGTCTAGATTCTACCTCTGACGCATTGCAGCAGAAGGTCCCCAGGTGATTCATAATCACATTTAGGGTGGAGTGTTGCTATCGGAGGAGCATACTTTGAGTAGCAAGGGTAGAAGGTGAAGCACTTTAGTGTGACATAGGAGTGCCTTCTGCGATCCGCTCCTCCAGCTAGTGCTGGACATCTCCTAACTTGGGCACTTTGTACACAGCTATATTACTTTTCTTTTGGAAAGTTCTTTTTTTAAAAAGCTTTTATTTATTTATTTATTTATTTATTTGAGAGAGACAGCATGAGCAGGGGGAGAGGTAGATGGACAGGGAGAAGCAGACTTCCCACTGAGCAGGGATCCTGATGCGGGGCTCAATCCCAGGACCCTGAGATCATGACCTGAACTGAAGGCAGATGCTTAACCGACTGAGCCACCCGGGCGCCCCTTGGGAAGTTTTTATTTAGATGTCTCTACGCCCATCTACACTGCGTTCTTCTAGAACCAGGCTGTGTCTGGCATAGAGTGGCCTTTAATAAATATTTACTGAGCAAACGAATAAATGAATGGGGGAGAATGGAACCATGAGTAATCTAGGAACATGAAAAAAGGAAGCAGGAGCTGGTCAGTTGGATTTGGGGAGAACTCTGGGATTCTAACCCGAGTCTGCCACTCACCAAGATCTCCCTTGACCCTGGGGGTATCAGAGTCTTGATGTGATGGACCTCTCCTCACTGATGTCATCCCAGTTCTTGGGAAAGTGTAGGCATCCAGGCTGTATCCTTGCTGATGCTTCCTGAAGGTGGGGTTGGGAGTGGCCTTCCGGGCCCAGGTCAGGCTGTGACACTGAATCTACGTGATACATAATGCGGTGATATGAAGGACAGGGGGAGGCATCTTCTTTGAAGACCAGGAGGAGGGAGATCACTGCTCAGCTGTAGTTCGGGAGCACCTCATCTTCTCTCGTTTGGACTATTCTGACTGTCTCTTTGTGGCTTTCCCCCCAATCCATCTTGTCTTCTACCCTATTGCTAGAGTAAAAGTAAAAGTCTTACAGGGTTTCCCTCTCTTGCTTGAAAATTTTTTGTTTCGTTTTGCTCAAAGGTTTCAACGGATCCTCACTGCGTAGCGGATAAAGCAGGGCCCGTGAAACCATTGGGATTTCTTTTCCCAGCTCTGTGCGTGCACCCCCATGTTTGGTTACCTGAGCAGGTGAATGCTTTTTCATGACTCTGTACCCTCACACATAGCCCTCCCTTTCTCATCCCCTCCCTCCTCCCAAGCCCATTACGCTCCCAGACCCCAGCTCACCAACCCCTTTGTTAGTACAGGGACCACATGCCCCCACGGCTCATATCTCAAGCCTCTTTCAGGGATGGAAAGAGGCTCTTCACAAAAGTCTGTCCTGACCCACCAAGAAAGGGCAGTCAGCTCCTTCCTTGTGCAGCCAGACACCCTGGACAAGCTTTCACCAGAGTCCCCTAACGTTCCCTGACGTTCATTTGTTTCCTTGTCTATATTCTGCCCACTGAACTTTGATCACTGGAGGCCTGAGGCTGTACCTTTGTCACTTTTGCATCTTAGCGACTATTGGATCGCCTGCTGCAAACGGGCACTGGACAGCCCATTTACATGGATTTGGAGAGGCAGTCTTGCAGAGGGGTTAAGATGCCACTTGTCCGGCTTTACTCACCAAAAGAAGCAGGCAGAACCCCAGGAGCAGGACAATCTCCCCCAGGACTTCTGGCCAGTCAGACCTCTTTGGAGGCCTGGGGATCTTGGCGATGCCAGTTTGGATGAGATGCCTGGGAGTCGTGGAGGCGAAGGGTCCTTCTCCGAAGCACTGGCCCCCTGGCGGGAGGGTGCGGATGTACTGGGTGGAAAGAAATCTGTTCAGCCTTTCTCCCACAGTCTGCCAGAGACTGGCAAGGGGACAGAGTGGGACACTGGGCCTGTCAGCACAAACCAAGTAGTTTAGATCTTTGTGCATACCTTGGGGGAGCAGAATCTGGGTTTTCCCTGGGAAACAAATTCACATCAAGTAACTGAGCAGCTGTATGCATGTTCTGGGGCGAGGCCAGCACAGCCTCTTAGAAGCTGTGCAGACAGGATGAGGAGCTAAATCTGTGTGTGACCAAGACACTGCGCCTGGATCAGTGGTGGCATCATAAGCAGGTCACATGGATACAAGCCTGTGCAGATGAGCTTGGGATGTGTGCCTTTAGGATGCAAGAGGGAGTAGGGAAAGAGGGGGTAATGAAGTAGAGGGCTGTGAGAGATGTTTGGACACTGTGAGGTCCTTAGATACACCTGCCATTTTCACCCTCACGATCTTCCCTTCCCTA